AGATTAGAGTCATCACCCAGCAGGTGCACTAAATGCACAGTAAATAAACTAATGTCCGTTTAGGAAAATGTATAATGGAAAGAGACCACTTTCCTGAAGATAACCTCTGGACACTCCCAAAATGTATGGGAATCTACCCATAGTGCCTCCTGACAGAGTGAAGTAGCATTTTCTGGCCCTATGCGTTTAAAGTAAAGCTTTTGGGAATACGTGGACCAGACAAACTCTAGAGATCACATAGAATCATGCTGTTTTCCTGACATTTTGGGATTTAAGAGAGATATAGATATTTTTGGATATATACTAATGGAAAAAGAAAGGCAACACCTCCTCCTCCACACTCTGGTCCTCCTGTCTGCGTAGAACAGGCTGAAAAGTCACTCATCCGTGAAGAGGACCTGATGACACTGCTGATGAGTCCATCACAGTCCCTGTCTGGACAATCTCTCAGATAGACCAGTCTGATGTGTTGGTCCTGCTCTGGTGTGGTCACTCGAGGGGAACCAAATCTTGGACGGTCACCTGTCCTGCCAGTCTGCTGAAGCCTTCTCTGCAGTCGGGACACAGTGGAGCGGCCTATCTGCAGCATGCCAGTGGCCCTCTCCCTTGCTTCTGGTGACATTTGAGGCATTACAGAATGCACAGAAAACTGGCTAAGTGTGGTCTTTTTCTTGCAGTGATCTAAGCTTTGAATCAAGGCCTTTTAAAAGGTGATGAGATCAGGCACTGTTCCACCTGGATCTCGTTGGGTAAAAGTGCACCTAACGAACTTTCATGCGATTGGCAAGTTGCAATGCCTCACTGCACAAGCTGTATTGCTGGTCAGAGGGCTTAAAACAAATTGAGAACTTTTTGTGAAAGTACATAAGCTATAACTATAGTATTCTCACTCAGAAAATGTTGCATTTTATTCCCATCAGTATATATAGATTTTTGGACCATATTTGGACAGTGTAGACTTTGAGGTGAATTTAGGCAACAAATACATTTAACTGTATTTAAGATCCAGGGGGTTGTAAAGAAATGTATGTAGGTTATATACATTATAAAGAAATGCTGGTATTTGAAAAAAAAAAATGACCCTGTTTGCATAGCCAACAAATAGTCTGTGTCCTTCTTTGTTAATTGCTTTCCTTTTTTAAAAGGTCCTTTTCTCAGACCTTATCAGCCTTGTCCAGGTTGATGATATCCAGAAACAAGATACTGAGATACAAGTTGGGGCTTTGTCATGTACAGCATTTACAACACTCTCAGACTTGTGACAATGTCCTTGCTAATCTTCTTGTTCTGATAGCATAAAAACCTCACAGTAGCCTGGTGATATTTCACTAACTTTGTAATGCTGGTTTCTGCAAAATTAATCTTGCTGGGAGGGATTTGTAATTAATGAGGAATTATCTCATGGTCACACTTTAAATGAAAAATAGACTTTCATTAAAATATCTAAAATTATTTCCATATAAAATTAGATTTGGAATTCTGGCTTAAAAGTGGAAAGAAAAAAACTGCTGAGGAATGCTGTTGTTTTGCAAGTGGTAAATGGTTAATGTTATACTTTTCAATGCTGTTTTGAAGGCAAAATTGTATTTTTATTATTAACTTAATCTTTAGCTAGGTTGGTAGTGGCACCTTCGGTATCGATTTGGGTAAAAGACTTAATTGGAAAGCTTGGAAGTACAGTTTTTCTTGAAACTTCAAATGTTTTTTCCCCATGTAATTTTAACAGAATTTTTTCAGTCTACTTTTTTTTTCAAATCCCGTGGTTACTCCATCTTGGATAGAAAAAATACAAACATCACATGATTATGTATAAAAGACAAATAGAAAGTACATACTCACATGGGCTCTAACACTGGAGCTTAAACTAGTTTACCACAAACATGTTTGTAGTGAATGCAAGCTATAAATGAGGGGCAGAGTTTGGTTTGTGGTTTAAGTCCTCAAAGACTTCAATTTACCACAGATATGTATTGGAAGTAGATTTGGATTCATTTTGTGGAATTCTGGAAACAATTTAGAATATGCGGTGTTGGTGTGGTCTGTGGAATTCACTATGCAAATCTAAAACTGCTGAAGACAGCAAATGTTTTTGCTGCTTTCCTTGCATGACAAAAGCTCCGTGTTAAATCTACGCAAAGAGATTAACAGCTAAAGGAGACTAAGACTACCTAGAGAAGACCAGAAGAGTTTTAGACCCCAACAGGTACCAGATGGTGAATACATTTATGTATCTTAGATTAATCCATGTAGCTTTTCTATGTATATTTTTGTTTAAAGCAAGACTAAAAATCAATCTGCTGAATAAATGGAATCCAGTGACATTGAATCAGAATGAATGATGTCTGGGCAGTGCTTGGTGTTATCTTATGCAACCAGTTAATCCTTGTTTTTCTGAGCAGATCTATCTTAAACCTTTTCAGCAAAGTAAATTACCGTTTAGTTTGAAGGCATTTCTGTTTTTCCATCTGTGGCATCTGCATTCTGTGTACTATCATGTTTTTCTGTTAATCATTATTTATCCATTGAATTTTTGGCTTTATCATTGAGAAGTTTATCAGCATTACAAAATCCGTCTGTGACCTAGTACGAAATAAACTTTCAAGATCCAGAAAGTTGAAAAATTGCAGTAATGAACAGGGGTATACGCAACACGGAGAAGTGACTGAAGGGAGTGAGTTTTGAAAACCAAGACTGACAAGGTCGTTTAATGGAGAAAACGGAGATGGTGTTTTTGTCTATGCACCGATGTTTTAATGTGTAGACAGTCAAACAAGGTGTGGAAACTAGTTTTACAGCCACCTTAAATAGTATTCATAGCACCCTATGGCAGTAGCATCTTACTTATACTTTTGTACTTGTTTGGTACAAAAGTGTCATAACAACAAAGTAGTTATCAAATGCTGGATGTTTATAGTTCTACTGCTTTCAAAAGACATGAATTTCCTGTTCAGTTAAAAAGGATTGTTTTAGAAGGGGTGGAGAGACATAGGAGGATACTTTAAATTTAGTCGATTTACTAGCTTTAAAAAAAACAGTTCGAGCCTTGCAATCTTCTTACTTGAGAGAACTATACTAATCTTTTTGTTTTCTTTCTCAGCACTAGGTGGTACTGACCTCAACATAGAATTTTTATGGCTTTAATTCAGTTTCTATTATCAGCCCAGCTATTATCATTTTACTGTTGCCTTTGTTAATAGCCAGTTTTCCAGAAATGTTAAATGGAATGACTGTCAGTAACTATGAATGGGACCATTACTCTCACTGGTGTCAAACTAAATGTGGCCATATAATTAACACCATTGACGCACAAGGTCTTTTCAGCTTTCTGTTTCGCTACAGTTGTCTTTTGTATTGCATGTGTACTACATTGCCATTAGTCAGTTAATTGTGATATGCATTTCCTTTGATCACAAATACACACAGTTGTAAGTTAGCTTCCCTTTTTATTTAACCTGAACATACTAACATTGCTGCATTTGGACAAATAATGTCTTTAGACGCAACTTCTGAAAATTAACTGACATATTGTCTTAAAATGTAGACGGAATTGACAGATTTGGACATAAGCTCTTACAGCATCCTCCAAATCTATTCATACAGTACTACCAAAATCGAAAAGCAATAAAAAAAAAGAATCAAAGTAATCAGTTTCCAAATCTAGGATCACAGAGCATAAGCCATTCGTTCACAATTTAGGATTTTTTTGCCTTCTGTAACAGAATTCATTTTGACAACATCCTCCTCCTTCCTTAAACAGCACCAGCCTCAACTCTGGGAGTACATAAAGCTGAGGCAAAGGCAAAGCTATTGACATTGTAGGAGGACTGTCTGAAAAAAAGATGCACAGCACTTTCTATTTTGAGATTAGATTCAAATCACTGCTAGGCATCATGACTTGATAAGTCATCTCCAACCTCTCTTACAAGACTAAAACCAGACTTTCCTCCAAGGCCTAATTAACCTTTCATTTCATCTAAACTAAAATGAACCAAACCAATTTATTCTCTCGGGACATTTAAAGTAGCCAAATCTCAGATCGTCACGCAAAGATACCTATGATGTCCGTATATTTTGTATATCTAGATATAGAATATGTAAAAATCAGTGAAAGTTTGCAATATAAGGTCTGTGTTGTCAGTTTGATGATTTTGGATGTCGTCTTTACTTGAGCTGTGCTGTACAAATTATGATAAAGAAATAATATTCAGAGCTGATGTTGTTTAAAAGGAAACTGTTGGGGAAAAATGTGCTTGAAAAACCTAAACTACTTAACCATAAGCACCACAATGTGATGAAAAAGTGTTAAATATTAACACTTATTTTATTTCTTCATACAAATATCAGGTGACTTTTGCTTTATCATATTCTGGATCTCATCTGCTAATATCAAATACTGTAAAAAGTGTACATGGTAGAGGGTTCAATCAAGTTTGTAACAGGATTCCACAGATCACCTGAGTGACATCATTCTGGGTGTGCTGCACATAGCCTTCCAGTGCTCTTACCCCACAAGAAACTGCCTTTTTTGTCTGAGACACACAGTATATAACATACACTTCTAGTGTCAGAAAAGGTCATTATGGTAATGCGAATAGTAGGAGAGGATTGTATAGGGGTGTGAAGGAGGTTGCTGCAGGAGGTGAGAATACAGTGCCATCACTTGAATATAGGGTCCCTCCAAAGTTTTAAGTTGTAAGACCCATTACAGGCATCAGTTGTTTCTAATTCATTGCAATTAGCTTCAGTATGTGATAAAACACAGGGTTAATAATATTGACCGAACTAAACTTGCTTACGATCCATTATTGAGTAGCCCTTTTAAATCCACGGATTGCATTTACAGTAATAGGTATGATTTAGTAAGTTACCTTTTCTGTTAGTAAACCTAGGTTTTAATCTGAGTATTTTAGTACAACTGCTGCACAATTATTTTGACTACACGTATCTGTGCTGTAGTTGCTGATTAATTATGATTGCAGTCTTGTTTTTTCGTTTTGCAGGTTGAACTAATCCAGAAAAACAGATGCTGTAGTTTATCACCATGGCATCAAATGCTAGCCATATGCTTGAAGCAGCCTTGGAGCAAATGGATGACATTATTGCAGGTAAAACTTGTTTTTACTTGGAATATTATTTTGCAAGCTCATCTTTCTTTTACAAACCATGGGGAGATTTACTAAAGTGTTAACAAACAAGCCACAAATACAGTACAGTTAGTCATTTTAAAACCCAATTATATAAATGATTTATGTAACAAATTTCTGAATTTCAAGGGTTGTGCCACACACCTGCTCTGACATGGAATTTGATAAACTGTGAAGACTGGGATGGAATTACAATTTTATGAAGGCCCTCTTTGAAAGTGTGATTCTTAACACCTGGCTACCATCTTTGCGTCAGTGATCAGTGTCTCACATGTAAAATATTCCCATTTATCTAAAGACCTTATAATTGCAGAATGCAGTGCAATCAGGAGCTTTTGGTTTTTATGGGGGGGAGGAATGCATCATTAACAATTATCTTCAAAGCGTGTAAACGAAATGCTTTCAGAGGAGATCAAACATACTCTATGAGTGACTTTATTAAGAGCACTGTATAAATAACCATCTGGGCTATTCCGTCTCAAAGAAAGACTTTTCAAAGTAAAAAATTATTTTACTTGCAAACAAGGGAATGATTCATCAGTTCCACTCGGATCTAGATAATAGAAAAATTGTATAACCCTTAAAAGTGTAGGTGGAGTAGCAGACATTTAAAGTCTATTCTATGTCATTCATTGTTAGGTCTTCCTGCTGTAATTGATGTAGTGAGGGTAACCATCTGCATTTTCTGTTCTTCTCTTTTTAAAAGTGAAAATGCCAGACATCTCCAAGATTCAAAAAGGTGATTATATGAAAAGTAGGTCTTCCTGGGAAATGTGAAAATCAGATTTATGCAATTTAACCTCTAAAGGAAAACATTCAACTGGATTTCCAATTCAGATTTTTAATCCATCTGCTTTCAGTTTAAATAACCTGAATAACTAATGATTTGACATTAACTGAATAAGGAATAAGATGCTTAGAAATGTACAATTCTGAAACCGAGTGACAGATCAGATTGTATCCAATAGCATCTTGTCCAGGTCTTTGTAACTCCTGTGCCTCTGAATTCCATGCCACCTGGTTATTCTCAGTTATTCACCTGAACACCTTGAGAGAACCAATAATTGTACTTAATCAAATTATTCAAATTAGAATAAAACTCCTTAATTAGAATTTTTGTATGATATAAATGTGTCGATATCAGGATAATATGCAAGAAAACATTAAATATTTTACAGTTAAAGAAAGATAAAGGCTCAAACTAATCAACTGTTTAAATAGAAAAACTACAGACCCCATATTCACATCTTATTTTTAAAATAGCAATATGTCATAAAACCAAAAACACAATTTTGCATGATTATCAAAATCCCATAACAGGTATACTAAATTTAACCACCTCTTGAGCCTTCCCTCAGTCTATCCCCATTCATACACCTGGGACTGGAGCACTCGGGGTAATGTGCCTTGCTCAAAATAACAGCAGTCTCTGCATTAGGGACTTGAACTCACAATCCACTAGTTATGAGACCAGAGACTCACTGGTTATGTTACACTGCTCCCATTGGCCCTGAATTGTTTTTACATCTAATTCTGATGTGTGCAATAGCTTCAGACAGATTTCTGTAAAAATGCATCCTACCCTGTGTAGGTCTGGCCCAGTATATTTACATGGTGCCTTTTCACTTATGATGTATCAACTGAGGAATTGGAAACACTAGTTTAGCCTCTTCTTGTACCTCTGATGGCTCAATTTCATGTTTAAGCGATACATTTCAGACGGTACTGATTATCAGCCAACACAAGGATATCAAATAGCATTGTAGAGAAGAACCTAATTTAAAAATAACTATAAATAGCAAAGGTTTAATGACCTCAAACATTTGGCAACAATGTACTAATAATAGCACTACTAATCCAGTCTCACAGGTTCGGAAGAGCACTTTATATGAATGCTTATCTAATTGCACATTGTTAACTTCCATTGCTGGATGCACATCTTCTGAAAGAGCCGTCTTCAGTCACTCAGGTGATTACAGAAATTTATATAAATGGTACCAGAAGAACAAAAAAGACATCGATGAGATTTGCAGTGTATTTGTTTTAGTTTCTGCCAAAGTACTTAGATGTTTGGAAACATGGAACATGGAAATTGTTTAAGCAAAACTGAGAAATAACTCCTTCCTCTTTAGGCACCCAGTACCTGCAGTACTATTGACAAGGAAATAAAAAAACAGCCTTCTCTATTTCTCATTCTTAAATTAACTTTAACCAGTAATAACCTCTACAAGTAGACGAGCGACACTGACCATAATCCCATAATCCAAAACGGTATCCCTGACAGAGCAGCATCCAGGTATGCTACTACTTTCCCTAGTCTTCAGGGTTTGCTGATGGGATACAGTACCTTCCCAAAAAAACAATTGCTGCAGAGGATTTCAGCAGTCATTGTGAGAGCCCAGAGAAACGTCATGCATCCAAGTCTGATACATCAAGTCCTGTTGCACTTAAAAATTCTAACTTTCAACCTGAGTTAATGTGAAACAAACATGCCTTCACATGAAGACATGGCTGGTTGAACAAGAATGTAATGTGTCTATTTGCACGTTATCCATCTTACAGGTTTTCTGAATGTAAGAATGTAATAACTAGGATAGTAAACACTTGGTATTTTTGAATACTTAGTTCTTGAGTATTTAAAGATGCCTAATGCAAGATTTAATCATTTACCATTTTGTTAACCAAGAAGCTGGATTGGAACAATTTCAGTCTCATTATGTTGATAAGTTAATATGTTGTAGATGTTGACCAATATCCTTAATCTGATAAAACATTTAGTTAAGAGGCAATTTAAACATTATTTGAAATCCTAATACTACTGTTGTACAGAGGGATGAAGAAGTACATTGTCCTTTAGCTGTGCATTCTCCTTGTATGTGACAATTTATTCAAGATTAGAATACACAGAGAGGTAGACTGAGCAAAAAAGATGATTGATTATAATTAGGCATATACCATGATTCTTTTACTTCCAAACACGCTACATCAGGTTTAAATGAATGCATCAAGGACATATTGTTCTGTATATCTGTTCTGAAGCATAGTCTCTAGTTAACAGAAACCAAAATAAAGAGTTGTTTGTTCACTTTTTGAAAATAGTTTGTGGTTTAATAATTTAGAAAAAGACAAAATAATAGTAAATTGGATATGAATATTGGAACTGTTGGGTCAATCAGAGGAACTTTGTAGCAAAGAATTAGAATTACAATTTTAGTTTTAAAACTAAACATTATTTTGAATAAAGACAAAAAAAAAAACCTAAATGACGTTCCCTCTGTATGAAGCTTTTCTGAAAGATCAGTCCTGGTTCTTGTGTTTCAGGCCACATCTTTTCTAAAGAATGTTACTTTATTATTTTCCTGGTACGGGTCTCAACATCTCAGAGCCAAATCCTGGAAGCGCCAGCAGGGACCGTGTGCTGGACAGTACACAGCCCAGCCCAGGGTACATCCAAAGAAACAAATGAGGCAGCCGTCACCCAAACCCACAGATTCAATGCCATCAAGCATATTTAAAGGGCCCTCTTCTGGTCAGTTTAGGTACTAGCTGAACAGTCAATGTTGATAAAAGTTCTCAAAGTTTTTTCCAAACGTACTGTACAGCCCTCACTTCATTATGGTATTAATGTGTATTCATTTGTCCTTTATTACATTCATTGAAAGAATCAGAATAAAGGCAGCAAAGCTCCATAACGCTACAGTCCAGAAAGTAGTGGCTAAAAACCCAGTGAATGTTAGAAGATTAAAAGTTAAAGTTAAAAGTAAAGTTAAACCCAGGATGTATAGAGAGGATAAATTAAATCTTTTCTAGAAATTTGTTAAACTTGTAAAAGTTAAAAGAAACAGTAGCTAGAATTGTGCGCAAATAAGTCCTGGTATACGAAACTCAGTACCAAGTACCAGAACAAGAACAAGCAGAGCAAATACGACCTTGTTGCTTTCACAGTGAAATCACAGTGATGTGAATACCAATTAATGGAAAAATGCTAAACCCCAAAAATTGACACGGGTAACAATGTACAGTATGCATTTGCACAACCTTGGTAACTGATGCTGACCAAGTTGGTTGAGGATGTTTCTTTGGGTAAATGAGAGCTCATTGAAAAGAGTTGGCGTATGATGACCTCTCATGGTAAACCAGCATTTTCCATGTCAGGAAGTAGCCTGGTGATGTCTGGGTGCCATGTGGTATGTGATGAATGTAGGTTATTCTCAGATGTGTGGATGTGCACAGTGGGCAACAGCAATTCCTGTGACTTTGACAGCATTCTTGAGACGATGTGAAAAATGTCAAGAGCAGTCTTCCTCACAGTCAGGCACAGCAGAAGGTGGCCCCTTGCCCTTGTGTGTCAGGCTGATCAATGTCTTCAGCAATAAGCCAAAATGTGAAAAGAGTTAGAAATGAGAGGAGGCTTAATCAGACCATCTTGGAACCACCAACACTGGATCCAACTGCTGGGCCACTAGATCAGATTCCACTGAATATGTTGGTGATCCTTTTGCAAGACTTACTGCATCCTGGGAATACTCTTGCAGCATCACTCAGTTGGCCACTCAGTTTCCAACAAAGGAAGAGGAAATTCCTGACAATTCCTTCCTACTATTAGACCACAAAATAAGGTGTTCCTTCTTGTCTGATGGCCAAACTATAACCTTTTAATAGAATTCCAACTATTCATCCGATGACCATTTCATTTTCCAACATAATTCTGACAAAGAAGGGGTGTCAGTATATTGATTTTGACTAGGTCCCCAAATAGTATCACACATCTGAAACACTTAGGCACAGATTCTGCTTGACGTGCAACACTGTGATGGTTTAATATTCTCCAGATGTGTATTTTTTTGGTTGTTGTCTAGCAGTTATTCTCTTTCCAGCACTGATGAGTTGCAGTTGCAAGATACACTTAAGCATTTAAAAGTAATGACTCGCTGGCTGTATTAATTTGCTGTCACACTATAAATTAGCCATTCCAGCAACGGTCACTGGATGCTTTGTGATGCTTTCAAGAAAAGAAAAGTCCAAAATAATTTTGTTTTTCATTTAGGTTCCAAGGCTGCGGCAGAGTACAACAATGGCATGTTCGATATGGGCTCGCCAGGGTATCTGGGATCATTGCAGATTTTACAACTGGTGGAAGAGCTGAAAATAGCTTTGGAAATACAGGCGAATGAAGAAGAGAAAGAGACTATAAGAAATCAAATCCCAGCAGCAACTGCACAGTATCTCATGGAATGGCTGGAAAAAGGTGTGGTAAGTATCCAGATGCAGATCCTGACCCATGTTCTTTATTTGAGGGATTTTACAGGTTTTTAAAACACAAAGGTTATACTTTTACTGTGTTCTGAACTACTTGCCATGTGAACCTACTAGAGTGTCGTTTGAGAGAAGGATAAGCTTTCTTATGCTCCATGTGAAAAGTAAATGTACAGTAAATGGGAGTCAATGTAAATTTATGAGAGGATACCTGGATGTACTGTATGAAGTTGTCAGGGTTACCCATTTATACTCCTGCAGAATAAGAACTTTCCCCTCCTGTTTAAGTCTTTTTACCCGATTCTCTCAAAACAATGTGGGATCTAGACTTCCCTTCTGCTACCCAAAATAAATTAATTCAGAGAAGACATTTAATGGGTTATTAGGTAGGATTGACTTATTGCTAATGAAGAGCAGCTTTGACTACATGAAGTCTTAATGCAATAAGGCCAGCCTTTTTGTATGCAGCTGTTACGGTTTAAGGTTCTTCAGCGACTGTGCCAGTTTATTTTTGCTATCCTTTGATGTCCAGGATTAGAGATGTGCATGACGTGCACTGAGCTTCAACCCTATAATATTCTGAAAATATGACTCAAAAGTGGGATGTTTGGCACATTCACATGAAAATTACCTGAATATTTAATAATGAACTGCAGTAACAGGCTACAGTACATCTCCTTCTCTTTTCTGCAAAATGTTTTATATAATCTTACCATTATCAAATCAAAATCTCCTTATTTAAATTAATAAATGTTTATTATGTTTCCCTAATTAATCATTTTGGCTCAAATGTCTTTACATAGTAAACACATTTAATGTTAAATGGTTTGAAGTTCAGGGATTTCAGGTACATTTTAAGCAACCAAAAGCATTAAAATGCATTATTATATATAATGCAAGATGTATATTTGCATACTCAGAATCAAAATTGACACAATGAGTTCATTTGACTTTCATTTACATTCAAAATAGCTACAGTATGTCTATATAGTGTACCACTCTTGCCTATTAAAGTTATAATAAATACATTCAAAAGAAGACAAATATTTTGATACTAAAGGATTCTTTTTATAATTGTTGTCTACTTTGTATATTTTTTTGTAAGGAAACCCAATAGTTCACTAAAATTGTATATTATAAATTCATAAATGTAAAGATGCCATTGTCCACAACATGCATAATACACAGTCTTTTAAAAATCTTAAATGGTATAAAAAAATCAGAGTGTGGTTTACCATGTTTTCCCAGAAATGAGAAGGGAAAAGCATGGTTGAGCACAGCAGCGCAGTAAGTCGAGGTTTTCGAGAGTGAACAGCTGCGTTAACTTTTCCAGGCTGTAAACAACCTGTTGCTGGAGCTAAGTAACTGATGAAAGGGAGGCTGTTTCCACATATAGACTGAGAGCTCTGTGGCTTTCTACCACATTCCATGCACCAGAGGTCTCACTCACCACAGCCCTTTAGTAGAAGGGAACCTCCTTGTAGCCTAGAAACAAAGCAAAAGCACGTGAGCCTTGATTAATGCTGGAGCTGTTTGTGTTGAAAATGGAGAGGGCTGTGAAGGGGAAGTTCTTTTTTTTTTTCTTTCAAATGAAAGTGCGAGTTAAAAAAAAAAAGCTTTGGGTCTGAAAGCTTGTGACCAATACCATCTCCAAAAGACTTCTATTACTCGCCATTTTGACAAGTTACTCGGAGGTCCTAAGCTGCCTATGTACAGTACATATTGTACTGCAAGTTGCAGTAAAGAAGTGTCAGCTATATTTATGACTTCTAAAATGTTACAACAAAGATAGATTCAGCATTTGAATGGATGGCATGTGTTCTTATCCGTTTTGTGGGAAAAGCCTAATAAGTAGTACTCAGCCTTGCAGCTGCCCAAGTCAGAGGAACAAGCAGGTGTAATGACTGTGTAATCATGAGGCAGGATTAATTTTATAGCCAGATATGCCAGATGGGACAAATTACCTCCTCTCATTTAGAGCCTGTCTTATACAGTATACGTAATGAGGTTTCTGTCTACTGGTGTGAATGTTGCCATCTTAAGTGCTACACCTTCATTTTCTTCTTCATATTCTGTTAAAAAGATTTTTCACTCATCCAAGAGCAGCAGCCCATAGCAATAGGATTTGAGAAGAAAAAAAGTTCCCCTGGCTGAACACTAACAAGTTCATACTTGATTGATACGCGACAACAACCTTGATCTTACGTCAACTTGGATGATGGCTTAACCAATGCTTTTTAAAAATACCTATTCTGGAATTATCATGAGAAATCTGGAATCAATAGAATGTGAACATGGCAAGTCAACACACACTCGGATGTATACTGTTCCCTCCCAAAATGTATATGTTATTACAGTACATCTGCAACAGGTCATTCAATTCAGGTTGAAACAAAAATGGTCCCACAAACTGCAATTGCTCAGAAACTATACATCCTGTTACAGTAAATACAAACCTGACTGGTATTAATCTGGTTAACCTGAAAATACTCTATAATATTCCTGTGTGAATAATTACAGCCACCTCTCCAGTTTGTCATTTGTGATGCTTTATTCTGAATATTTATTAATTATCATTACATACTTAGTGCAAAATGTTTTATAGATGCTGCAGTTCCTTACATCTGCAATATCTCATATCATTGTAATGAATGCTAGAATACTACTGCAGTTATACACCAGCATAATACTTGTTAATCATTTCTGTAGCAGAACTCAATTTGATTAAAAGTACAAAAGAATCAGATAGTCATTGTTACTACCATGTTGTATAAGAATTTCATTACTACCATATTGCTTTAAAATTAGATTTTATGACAAAGGAACTTGCTTAAAAAGGTTTCACATTACTTGCAAGTTTCTTTTTTGTATATCAGAAACTTAAAATGCCATGAAAAAGTCTATATCTTTTACCAGTCTCTCAGGCCTACCCTCAATATTATTAAAAAGTGATTAATACCCAAAATAATGCTAAAATATTCTACAACTCTGTACAACTCTTTCCTATGTAATTGTTTGTAAATGTAAATTGTGAAACTTGCAGATCTTGCTTATAAGCTACTATAAATTCTTAATGTTAATGCAGGAGGTACAGAACATAAAATGAAGACAATGTAAAAAACATAACCTCAGCAGGACAGAACAGTTCTGTATATGTGGATCCTGTGGAGTTGATTCATTGATAAAAACTGAGTTTGACATTAGTCTGATGCCTGTCATATACAATCAAACAATAGCTACAGATCCACTCCCAAGAGGATGATACTTGCATTTGCTTGATAGTCTCGTATCCAAATCACCCAGCATATATTTATGGTATGAAGTCTGCAGTATGGTAAATGTGCATGAAAAAAGGAGAAAATAATACATCTGACAAGTGAAAAGCTGCAGCTTATCCCAGGATGCACTTTGAGACATAACACCAGTTCATTGCAGGGTCATGGAGAGAAAGCTTAGAATAACCAGTAAAACCTAGCCTTCATCACTGGGAGGATACCAGAGCACGTGGCAGAAGCTCACATAAACACAGGGAGAATTTGGAAAGTCATCCAGGTTGAACTCAGCAACCTGAAGCTGTGAGGCAGCAACACTTTTAAGGTATTGAGGTGGCACAATTAAACTGAAATGTGCTGTTCTACAAATAACAATAAGATCTGAAATCTTGTAATTACAGTATTATCCTTGCTTTTTGGTAGGTTCAACTTATTCTCTACAGTAAAGACAACATTCCTTTTTTCATCTACATAGCACATAAAACAGTTTCACCAAGCCTGAGTTCAAGTAATCGAGATTCTGCTTTTGAATTTGCTTCGATAGCAAAAAGGAAACGCTGCTAAGAGTAGGATTAATACAAAGGGGAATTCGAGACTGTAATGGTGATCTGGGAACTGCTGCATAAATTTATTGACAGGAAAGTCCAAGAAATGTTGACACGCGTGTCATCGTCATGCCCGTCTATAGCAGAGCTCTCGCTTTTGTTCCACTCTTCACAATTTGCAGTGGACATCAAGACGACCAGCAGGAGCCTGGCACATTTTAAAATGAACATTCTGGATTCATCTTTGTATATTCAGTGCCATAAAAGAAAGTCTGCTTCTGATTCCACTCATAAGCCACTCTAGTTATTGTATTTTTGTGCGAGACCCTTTTGTTTCTTTTGAAATATGAATAAAGCAAATTCTTAGGCGTCCTCAACTGAGTGAGGCAAACGGTGGGGGTAGTTTCTGCTAAGGAGAATAACTAAACCTTCAACAGGAAATAAGGTCTTTGGGTAATGACTTCCAGCCAGTGTTTAAACAGAGCTGTAGTACTAGTCATGATTAATGGATTTATTTGTGAAGAGCATACATGTTGGAATAACTTTGCTTTCTTTTCCACCAAAACAAAATGCATAGAATACAGCTGAGTTTAGACATGTACATGTATTGAGACTTATGTTTATTAGACACAGCCCCACGAACGAAGCCAGCTGGCATGATTTATTTGCAAAGTCTGCAGCATGATATTAGAGCTTGTCACTTAGCTCTGCATTTTGCTCTGAAAACCAGATGCTCAGTGGCTTGAACCAGACGACACTTTCAGAGTTTTTACAGTTGCTCCTTCGTGTCAGGAGGGAGCATAGCGCAAGCTTGGCTGAAGAGGAAAGAATCCACAGAATAAATTGAACCGAGTATCTCTTTCCAAGCAGTACTACAAAGAAACTGAGCACTTCAGACCACTGCTTTATCCTCTGCCAAGACAAGCTACTCTAGACTTAAGCACAGGCTAAGGCAACAATGGGCCTGAAGCATGGACAGTGATATTGATTTTTACAAACATTTTACGTGGCTTAAAAAGGTAAGTGCAGTCTTATCTATCTTTTCTTTTTCTCACTTTTGCAAAAGTTCCACAGGTATTGTTTTTGACAGCTAGCTTTTTTTTTGGACAGAAAACATGACTGTGAAATGCAAATGCACTGCCAAGAATTTCATGAGAATCTAATTTTGTGCAGAGCACAT